TCCCTACAAAAACAAGCTTCATAAGCAGGGCTGTTCAAAATAAGTATATTAAAGCATTTACAATGTATCCTAGCACTCGGAAACTAGTCGAGTCAAGGTAAAAACCTGATGATACTTCACAACTGAAGACCATCTCTTGGAAGTTGTAAGAAGGCCTGTCTTGTATGAGAGTATAAATGCGTAACGTGAAAGTCAACTGAAGAACAAGATAATCAGTCCAAGGGATGGACAGAGACGAGCACTGTCACACCATGGGATGTTTAATTCTAAATTAAAAACTAAAAGAATGTGTTAAAATTACACTCCTTTAGAAGTTGTGAATACATTCAGATTTTTCTCACCTTCAGACCTTTCTCATCTTTCATCCTCTGTTCCTTCCCATTTGGGACTATGATAAAAATAGGACCCGATTTATCATCGTCTTCCTTCAAATTAGGCTTGCTTAGCACTTTCTTCCCCTGTACACCCTGAAAAAAACAAGGTATTAACAGGCAACACAAGACACATATATATGCCTCAGTCCCAGCAATTGCAAGCATTAGATACCAGCCAGCCTCATGCTGCCTATGTGTACAAGAGCCAGAGAGAAGCTGGAAGAGTAATGTTGATTAGAATTTTAAAAGTATGTGCGCTGCTGCCGTGGAAGCAATACCCATGACAGTGTGTGCAGTAGTACCCTGTGAAATATGACACCCCACTCAACCAGTGTGCTAGTCACCCACACACATCCCTAAAACCCCACCTGGTACCTGTTTGATAGATTTGCTTTTTGTCAGACTGGTGCTGCCTTTGCTGTGGCTTGTATTAGCTTTGGACAGGCTGGTATTGCCCTTGGACATACTGCTAGTAACATCTGACTGCTGTAAATAAGCCACAGAAAAGGCTTTGTTGTTAGACAGCTATTTACTCTTTAAGAGTTGCCATTCCAAACTTTTTAATGTGTTCACAGAGTTTTGAATACAGAATACATAGACTTAGGCATATCTACAACACCCTTCAAGGTTTGTCCTGTTCATTCCTGCCATGCATCTGGACCTACACCAAATGTTCTCATTACAGCAACGGCACTACTTTAGACAATGGAAGCAACTGGACTGTAGAACAATTTGGGGTTCTTTTAGTTATATACCTAGGACAAACTTTAAAGTTAATAGCAAAAAAATTACTGTAACACAAAACAACAGAAAAATCTAACCGCAAATTCAAATGTAATCAGCTGAGATTATTATTATGCATTTAAACATCTTCCTTCCCTTTTTGCACTTGTGATTGAGAACATTTGACCTTTCATACTGGAAAGGAGAGATTAATTTCTTTTGACACACAAGCTCAAAATTACAGTTCAAAGTACAAAACTGGAACTGCAATGGTAAGAATGAATTCTCAACAGCACAAAAATCAAGGAGGCCAAGCAGATTTAGAACATGGACTGAGCTGCTCACAAGACTGCAATTTTTGACAATACAGACTTTAAAAATTAAATATGTAATGACAAAAGGAGTGGTTAAGTAGGTGATATGAGAACACTTGTCATTGCAGAACTCAGACAAGCATAAAGATTCTCAGCAAAAACAGTCCCTAGCAAGGGCTATACTCTTCTATGTATAATACATTAACAAACTACAGCTATTAACTTCATAGAACTGATTTTATACAAAATGAAGTGAACGCACCTTAGCTTTAGAGGAGACCGCTCCTACTTTGGCTTTTTTGGGATCAGGCTTGGATTCCATGATATTGGACCCTGAATCTTCAGCAAGTGCTAGAGAAACAATACACCATTTGAAACTACCAACAAGGCCATTTTAGGCCAGCAGAGTTTTCCATTCTTAGGACAGAAGAAAAACTGTTCATAGATACAATACACTTATCACACAGAGGTCAGAGGATTTTAAATGCATAAAATAAGTTCCTTAAATTCCATATTAGCATACAAAGTTTTCATAATTAAGATCATAATATGCTACCAAATATGTCATTATCAAAATGATTTAAAAATACACACACACATATACTGTGCAAGGCTAATGTCTAGAGCTGTAGTTGCACTCAGGCTGAGCAGGCAAGCTAGCCCCAGCAGAGAGATAAGGCAGGACTGCTTTTCAAATCACTTTTCCCCTAATCCCACTACCCTCTTTTTTGTGTCAGCACAAGCATTCTGGTAGCTGCACAGTGAACTATATTGAAGAAACAGTCCAGATAAAAATTAATGTGAAAACACTTTAAAAAGTGTTACATGAAAATCGGATTAGTATCACCAAAAAACCCTCCTCTAGACCATGGGTTTTAGTTTCAGTATCAAGTAGATATTTTCAAAGAGCAGCTGACAGATGGTTGTGAGGAAAAACCCTCCTACACTGCAAGCTGACTCAACCGCCAATAAGACCAGAACTGCAGACAGAACTCATGAGATCACACAGCTATGCTGAATTCCTCTCCTCCTGCTAAGTATGTTTCCTCCTCTGGCATGTCAAAAAGCTTCAAAAAACACCCTTTCTCAGCCATTTCCCAGAACGTAAGAGAGGTTACCTGATGCAGGTTGGAATTTGGCTGGAGCTGCTCCCCCTACCATTCTGGAAGATGCTTTAGCAGGAGGAGCTGGTTTGGCTGGCATGTTGGCTTTGGCTTTCTCAAGCATGGCCAGTACCTGATCTTTGGAAGTTGGCTAGAGAACAGAGCGGGGAAAAAAGAAGTGATACTGATTACTAATACAGGCCACAGACAAGGAAAGCACAGTAGATTGAAACAAGCTATTCTCTGTTTAGCATCTTCCAGGATGCTTATTTTAAAACATCAATGTTTTCAGGTATTTCTGTTCTGAGAGAAGGCACCTTTCTTTCTGTTAAGTTTTTTCTGCAAGACCTATGGGAAACCAGCAGTCTGTTCTAGGTGGGCAGTCCTATGACATTAATGGAGTGCCCCAACAGTGGTTCAGCACTCAAGAGTCTGTAAGATATACCAAATTGCTAGAAGTAATCTTAAAGCATGTGTTCAAAGGCATACAGTTGGACAGTAACTGGTATGGAAGCTATCTGCAAGTACATTTTTTCAGGAGAAAAGCAGGATGAATGAGTGTCAAACTCCTGAAGTTACAAGTCTGTGGTTTGTCTTTCTGAAGTATAGAAAGCTCTAACTCGCAGCCTCCTGACACTATTTTCAGACCCCACGAAAAATATTCCATGCAGACAAGCTTACATGACTCAAGACAGCATATCATGACACTGTGAGTGTGACTTGTTAATATCCACTTATTCAAGGTCACATTATCTAATCCTAGTGACAGAAATACCTTCAGCTTGCTGGTAGCTTTTGCCATCTTCTCAAAGCCAAGATGCATCATAAAGAATGGCAGGGCATCCTGCGCCTTTTTACGCACATCCCCATTTCGATCTTCCAGGCAAGAGTACAGATGAGGCACACACAAGAGTAGGTCAGAAGGAACAGAACGGAGGGTAGGCAACTTCTCAGCCAACCAACCAAGAAGCTGAAAGAAAGTTTTAAAATAAAAGTTTCTGAAGAAGCACTCACAGAGCTCTATCAGGCCACAAGAGCCTGAATAGTAGTCCTTCACATACCTCTATGTCAGTAAGAAAAAAAATGACACTGCAACCTTTGTTCAGACAAATATTCTTAACCAACATCAGCTTTCATATCAGCAATTAGAAAAAAAAAATTAAAACTAAGTACAGTATGTTAATACATAGCTATCTTAAAACTTGGAGCTTGGTCTCTTAAGACTGCATGGACTGTTTCTTCCTTTTCAAAGTAACATCAAAATTTCAGCTGCACTTTATCCACCTCAAACATATTAATGCCTCCAACTTCAGTTCTGGTCTTCATTATCGTATGGTTAATTTCAGGCAAAACACACTAGCTCTTAAAATGCTGATCAAAAAAAAGTTTCTTTTCATCGGTACTGAAATCTGAATGACAGCTATCATGCAGGAAGAAAGCTTCTTATTAGTCTTCTGAGGTTGAACAATTTTATGTTAGTATGAAGACACAGCTACTTGTTTACTCATGTAATAGTAGCAGATTAGATGCACATAAGGAGAAGTTTACTTAACAGAAGCCTACCTCTTGTCTTAGGAAAGGATTTTCTTTTTTGAGCTCCTCAGACAGGTCTTCCCCTTCTAACCACTCTTTCATGCCAGTTTGTTCAGCCCAGGTGTTCACAGTTGCTAGTGCAGCAGCACGAACATTATTCTGCAGCAAGAACAAGATTTAAGAAGAATAATCCTAAAGAGAGGTCAGAAGATTACAACAGAAGAGGCAGTAGCTTCATCCTTCCCATGAGAGAAAAAAGTTTCCACATCACAGGCTTTGAAATCTGTTTTTATTCACTGCTTGAGAAGTCTAAGATTCAGAAAAATTTCGTGATAGTATCAGCTGCAGAAATCACCAAATCAGACACTGTACTTATCTACCATTATTAAAAAAAAAGTTTCATAAAGAGAGACAAAGGGTATCTTTAAAAGCACTTTATACTAGCTACCATTCATTGATGAGAATTTCTAACTCTCAAACAAGCTAAAGAATAAGGTTAGTGATTTATGTAATGCTTAAAATAGACTTACCACATTCACAAATCAAGGCAAGTGGGTTATAGAGCCTGTTATTAGGGCACTCTTATTTAGGACACACATGAGCAAAAGTCAAGTCAGGAACAGGGGAGCCCTCTAACTCCTACCAATTTCCATCTTTAGTGGTTTTCTTCCAAGCAAAATTTAGAACAGCACCCCTTTTTGAAGCAGCTATGTGAAGTTATGAGAAGTCAGATGCAATACCTAACAGCCACGGTTCTTCAAAACATTATCAGTATAGACATGACTCCATACATATGGATCTCTCCTGTAGGCTGAATTTCTGTGGCAAGCTGATAATGTAACAGACTCATTTAGCTTTAGTATGAATCAATTTTAAATGCAAAGGTAACATCCAGACATGTATCTAAACAAGAAGTGAGCATCATTGCAAATAACTTGTCCCATCTTCAACCTCATTGAGGAAAAGAAACAAATCATGTGCTGCCTGTAATCAGACACTCAGACTCTCTGATGAGGCCTTGGTTCCCATCGCACAAACTTAATTTGTCTTCACTCATGCTATAAGCTGTTTATTTTCCTCAGCTATTCAGTTCACTATCAACATTTTGATAGGGCCCAAAAAGGATCCTCTTCATCTTCAAAAACTCTAGCAATGGGATAAGCTAGGTAAATCTTGCAGTACATCAAAAGAAGGTACTACTGTAACAATGTTTGAATGAGTATACAATCTTCCATCAGCATTATAGCGCTTACGAGTAACACTGGTATTACACATTTTAGTAACAGTACAAGTTAATCGCAGTTGGTCTTATCTTTAAACCATGTACTAGGAACTGAAGGGAGCTTGCTGTTCCCTCAATATAATTGGTGAATAAAAGTAGAATCCAACTTAACCATGTAAAAACTCAGTTCTCTAAGACTCTTAACGAGAAAACAATTTGAATGAAGAGTTTTTATCTAGCCCTAGGACCAGTCCTAGTCCTTCCATTGCTTGGGACAGGTAGATCCAGTTTCCGCTCATTTTCCTACTCACATTTAGAGTAGAGACATCTGAAGTATGCCACCTCTGACAATTGCCTGTGACTTCTGGCACCAGAAATTGGCCTCTTCCCAAGTCTCCTTCCCCCATTGCTTCAAATAGCTCTTTCCCATGGTCCTAGCTTTGATTTTGACATAGTATCTTGACAAGCTCAACACTGACATTATACAAGCTTCAGTGTCAGTTGTGAGTGTCCTGTTTCTACCTACAGTTCAAAAGTCTCCTACACAATGACACCAAGACAACAATGTGCACTGGAATCCAGACCGATACACTAAAAGAACAAAAGTTCTACAAGCAACTTTACCAAGCTTGATTAGTGTCTAATGTAGTGTAATTTCAGGATTAGAAGTATGCATACAGTCACCATGTTTCATTTAAAAGCTGAATTATGACACTGACTGGGTTTATTTACAAGCAGGAGAACACATGTTCGGGAGAATATATATTCAGGCACACAGTCGTATTTGGATAATGTTGTCATTTAGGCAAGCACCTTTCAAAAAATGTATAAGCTTCCAAAGAAGTTTTAACTACCATCCACCTCTAAAAAACAAGTTTAAACAGCAATGATTATTCTCAGGTACAGCTTGGATAGTGAGCAGCAAAAAGGAA